AGAGAAAGGCGAAAGAAAGATAAGGAAAGATGAGGGAAAGGAGTGGGGCTGGATAGGGAAAGGCGATGGAAAGAGAATGTAAAGAACAGCTAAATGCCAGGAACAGGATAGAGAAAGGTTATGCACAGCAAAGGGAAAGATAAAGGTAAGATAATGGAAAGAAGAGGCAAAAGGCAATGAACAAGCAAGGGAAAGGAGGCAGATAGGAGAGGGAAAGAAAATGGAAAGACAAAGGAAAGGCAAGGGACAGGAGAGGGAATGATGATGGAAATAGATGGAAAGATGAGGGAAAGGATAGGGAAAGGTGAAGGAAAGGAGAGAAAAAGATAATGGAAAAATGAGGAATAAATGAAGGAAAGGTGAGGGCAAGAAAGGGAAATGTAAGGGATTGGGGAGAGATGGTACAGCATAGGCAAAAGAAAGATAAGGAAAGGTGAGGGGAGAGGTACAGGATAGGAAAAGGAGAGGGAAAGATAATGCAAAGAAGAAGGACAGGCAAAGGAAAGGAGAGGGAAAGGAGGTGGATAGGAAAGGGAAAGATAACAGAAAGACAAATGAAACACGAGGGAAAGGCAAGGTACAGTAGAGGGACAGAAGAAAGAAAGGCAAAGGAAAGGAGAGGGAAAGGAGATGTATAGGAAAGGGAAAGATAACAGAAAGACAAATGAAACACAAGGGAAAGGCAAGGTACAGGAGAGGGACAGGAGAAAGAAAGGCAAAGAAAATATAAAGGTAAGGAAAAGGCTAGGGACAAGATAGGGAAAGGTGAGGGAAAGGTACGGAAACATGAGCGAAAGGTGAGGGAAAGAAGAGAGAAAGTATACAGAAATGTGAGGGACAGGAGAAAGATGAGGGAAAGGTAACAGAAAGAGAAGGGAAGGACGAGAAAGGCGAGGAACAGGATAGGGAAAGGGGAGGGAAAGATAATGGAAACACGAGGGAAAGGCGACGGACATGTGAGGGAAACTGGAGGGACAGGCGAGGGAAAAGAGGGAAAGGAGAAGGTCATGCGTGGGACAGGTGAGGGACAGGACAGGGAAAGGGGAGGGAAATAACAGAAATAAGAAGGAAAGGTGAGGAAAATACGAGGGAAAGGCAAAGGAAAGGCAAGGGAAAAGTGAGAGAAAGGCGAGAGAAAGATGAGGAAAAGGCAAGGGAAAGGTGAGGGACAGATAAGGGAAAGAAAGGGGAAAGGTAACTGAAAGATGAAGAAAATATGAGCAAAAGGCAAGGGACAGGAGAAAGAGAGGGAAATATAACAGAAAGTTGAAGGAAAGACAAGGGAAAGGCTAGGGACAGGACAGGAAAGGGGAGGTAAAGATAAGGAAAGGTGAGGGAAAGAAGATGGAAAGGAGAGGCAAAGATAATGGAATGACGAGACAAGGATGAGAGAAAGGGGAGAGACAGCCAACCAAAAGACAAGGGAAAGGTAATGGAAAGACATGGGAAAGGTCAGAGACTAGTGAGAGACAGTTTAAAGAAAGTGGGGGGAGAGAGAATAGAAAGATGAGGGAAAGGCAAGGAACAGGATAGGGAAAGATGACGGAAAGATAACAGAATGATGAAGAAAAGGTGAGGGACATGTGAGGGACAAGTGAGGAAACGGAGAGGGAAAGGAGAGGGAAAGACAATGGAACAATGAGGGAAAGATGAGAGAAAGACAAGATTAAGGAGAGGGACAATATAGGGAAAGGTGAGAGAAATGTGATGGAAAAGAGAGGGAAAGGTCAATGAGAGGACAAGTAAAGACAAGGGAAAGAAGGGGGAGCGATAACAGGAAGATGAGGGACAGTATAAGGAAAAGCGATAGAAAGGCAAGGGAAAGGTGAGGTGATAATGGAAAGATTAGGGAAAGATGAGGGAAAGGTGAGAGACTGGTTAGGGAAAGGCAAGGGAAAGATAACGGAACAACGAGGGAAAGGAGAGGTAGAGGAGAGAGACAGGATAGCAGAAAGACAAGGGACAGGTGAGGGAAAGGTGAGGGAAAGATGAAGGACAGCACAGAGAAAGGTGAGGCACAGGCGATGGTTAGGGTTAGAACAAGGGAAAAAGGAAAGAATGACAAGGGTATGATGAGGGTAATACGAGGGAAAGACTAGAAAAAGAGGAGGGAAAGTGGCAGGAAAGACAAGGGAAAGCTGAGAGGAAGATGAAACAGAGAAGAAAGGGAGAAGATAAAAGAGGGAAGACAGAAGAAAGAGAGAAGAAAGAAGTAAGGGAGAAGTAAGGGAGAAGTAAAGGAGAAAGAAGGGAGAAAGAAGAAATAGGGAAGGCGGAATAGAGAAGACAGAAGAAAGCAGAACTAGGATAGAAAGAAGGCAGAGAAAAAAAAAGATATAAGAAAATGGGTCTGCATGTTCACAATAAAGACTGAAATAAGAATGCAAAAGGAGAGAGAAAGGAGAGATAAAGGTCAGAGAAAGGAGGGAGAAAAAGCAGAGAGAGAAAGGAGAAAGAAGAGAGAACAAGCAGAGAGGGAATGGAGAGAGAACAGAGAAACAGAGAAGAGGGAAGGCAAAGAAGCGAGAAGAAACAGAAGGCAGAGGAGAGAAGAAAGAAGAGGGGGAAAAAGGAGAAGGGAGAAAAAAGAAGAAATGAAAGAAAGAATGAAGACAAGAAGAAAGAGAAAAAAAAGACAGGAAGAAGAAATGAAGAAAGGAGAGAACAAAGAGAAAAAAGAAGAAAGTGACAAGAAAAGAATAAAGAGAAGAAAGAAGAAAGAAAAAGGGAAGAGAGAAGAAAGAGATGAAAAAAGAGAAGAAAGAAGGAGAAGAAAGAGAGAAGAATAAAAAGAAGAGAGTACAGAGAAGAAAGGGAGACAATGAAAAAGAGGGAAGAGAGGAGATAGAAAAGAAAGAAGAAAGAAGGAGAAGAGAGAAGAAGAAAGGAAGAAGGAAGGAAGAAGGGAGAGAGAAAGAAGAAGAGAGAAAAAAACAGTACTGCGGGTGAAGTCTTATAAGAGATCAGAGTAGAGAGGGAGAATCACCTCCCTCGACTTGCTGGCCACGCTCCTTTTGATGCAGCCCAGCACATGGTTGGCTTTCTGGGCTGCAACCACACACTGCTGGCTAATGTTAACTAACATCCCCAAGCCCTTCTTAGGGCTGCTCGCAGTCCATCCTCTGCACAGCCTGTATTTGTGCTTGGGATTGCCCATCCCATGTGCAGGATCTTGCACTTGGCCCCGTTGAACTTCATGAAGAAGTTCCCCTGGTTCCATGGGGACTATGTTAACCTTGTATCAGAAATAAAACACCAAAGGATGGGGATGAATGAGAGGGAAAGGCAAGGAAAAGATAATGGAAAGACAAGAGAAAGAAGAGGGAAATGAGAAGTAAATGTGAGGGACAGAATAGGGAAAAGCGAGGCACAGGCAAGGGAAAGACAAGGGAAAGGAGGGGGAAAGATAATGGAAAGACAGAGTAAAGATGAGGCAAGGGACAGGTGAGGGACAGGAGAAAGAATGGTGAGGGAAAGACAATGGAAAGGTGAGGGAAAGGCGAGGGAAAGACAATGGAATGATGAATGAAAGATGAGAGAAAGGCAAGAAACAGCCAAGCAAAAGACAAGGGATAGGTAACAGAATGACGTGGGAAAGACAAGAGACAGGTTAGGGAAAGGCAAAGGAAAGAGAACGTAAAGATGAGGGAAAGATAACAGAATGATGAAGAAAAGGTGAGGGACATGTGAAAGGAGAAGGACGGGTGAAGAAAAGGTAACACAAACACGAGGGGAAGGCAAGAGGAAGAAAATGGAAAGGTGAGGGAAAGGTGAGGGAAAAGTGAGGGACAATAACTGAAAGATGAGGAAAAGATGAAAGAAAAGCAAGCGAAATGAGAGGAAAAGGAGATGAAAAGATAATGGAAAGTCAACGGAAAGACAATACAGGCAAGGGAAAGGATCTGAAAAGATAATGGAAAGTTCAGGGAAAGATGAGGGAAAGCTGAAAGGTGAAAGAAAGGGAGAAGAGAGAAGAAAAAAGGAAGAAGAAAGAGAGAAGAGAGAGAAGAAAGAGGAGAGAGAAGAAAGACAGGAAAGAGAAGAAGAGTGCAAAAGGAGAGACAAAGGAGAGATAAAGGTCAGAGAAAGGAGAGAGAAAAAGCAGAGAGAAAGGAGAAAAGGGGAAGAATAAGCTGGGAGAGAATGGAGAGAGAACAGGGAAAGGAAGAAATGGAGAGAGTTGATAAGACAGCTTCCCTTGCAAGGGGCATTTTCCACTGAATAAACCAAGCTCATTAGCTATCTCTCACAACTACATTTATTAATTTGGGTGGTAGAAAAAGGGAGCAAAGTATTTTCACGAGTGACAAACCGAATGAAGAAAAAAAAAATCAAACAAGCAGCTGTATAGCCATGTATGTTCCTTCTCTCTCATGACAAACCCTGGACCTAAATTCTGCATTTCAAAAACACGGAACTATAACCACCACCAGTTACAGTGGGATACATAAGCACTCCTGTTTCTTTATACATAGCAAGTGAGAGAAATATATGAGAAACTCAAATGCAAAATATTATTTGAAAGTAACCTCCCCAAAACTTCTCCCCTTGGGACCTTCCACAACATGCATCAAGCTGCAAAAAACCAAAATCATAGTTGGGCACATAACACCTTTCCCTGTCCACTCCCCTCCCATTTCTCCCCTCAACCAATCCAGGCTGATTTTTCAAATGATCTTTAGTATCACAGTATCACACAGTATCACAGTATGCTACAGATTGCAAGGGACCTCAAAAGATCATCTAGTCCAATCCCCCTGCCGGAGCAGGAACACCTAGATAAGGTTACACAGGAACGTGTCCAGGCGGGTTTTGAATGTCTCCAGAGAAGGAGACTCCACAACCTCCCTGGGCAGCCTGTGCCAGTGTTCTGTCACCCTCACTGAGAAGAAGTTTCTTCTCAAGTTTAAGTGGAACCTCTTGTGTTCCAGTTTGTACCCATTACCCCTTGTCCTACCTAAAAAGCCTTTTATTTAAGGGTGTTTACCTAGCAAATTCACAGTTAATGAAATGCATTACACTTTTGAAATGTCTTTTACCTTCTTTTCCGACAAGTCATGATCCAGCTCATCTTCAGAATCTTCTTCACTCTGCTGCTGCTGCTGTTGCTCCTGCATGTCCTTCATTTTAATCAGCAGCTCTGCCTTTGGTGCAGATGTGCTGTAGTAAGTAGAATTGGTTGTGAGGGAGATGGCAGACGGTGCGCTCTGGTCCTCTTTCCTGGTAAAAAGCCAAAACTTTTATTAGCTGCCTTGACACCCTAATCGCTGCAAAGAAAGGACAATCTTTTAGAGCCATCATTTCAACAAGCAAGCAGGGGTTCAACAGAAAGCCATTACCTAAGTAAATAGGGTAAATAAAATCTGGTTGTGAAGAAAATTTGAACTCAGCACATGCCCATCAAAAGCTAAAACTTAAGACCTTTCACAATTACAATGACTGAAATGGACCCAAGATCCCTCATCTTGAAACAAAATGTAGTTACATTTTTCCAAGTAGCACAAAGACCTCAGCGTCATAGAAAATATCCTTTCAGACTTCCAAATGCAGGACATTGCAACCTAAGTATTTATCTTTTTGATTATGGAATTACATATGAACTTCATGAGAAGGCTACAACTTAATTTGATTACTCATCTCAAGAAAGCGGAAGACCCATAGAACATCAACATATGGATGGAATTTAATGGAACTCAATCTTTTCTTTGTTCTCATTCACTTCCAGGAAATGTCTCATGCCCATTTCAAGCTGTCTTTTTAAATTTTCATCACATAAACAAGGGTAAAATATTTTTCCTTCGCTATCCAGTTATCAGACTTTTACCAGACGATCTTGGTAAAGTATCTAATCACTATGAAATAGAAGATGGTTATTCCTTAAGTTCTCACACAAATACGTTTTCAACGAGATCTTAAAAGGAAACTTGTCATATTGTGCAACATTGTTCTTTTTCTGTTATTAAGGGTATACTTAGCAGCATTACGCTTGACCGCAATTCTGACAGAAAAAGTATCAGAAAAGCCCCAAACCTCAACAGCACGAAGATCCTAGCCTTCAATCCCCCTAGGAAAACTGACACCCTTTGGACAGCAGCTTACAAGGAGTGCAGAAAGTAATACTCACTTTTCCTCTGAAATTTTTGGAGAAGGAACTTTAGGCAGGAGCTTCCTGCGCTGTTGAGCTTCCTCCAGGAGGTGTTCATCTTTAGGGAATATACCAACCATCAGATCCATTGTTGTTTTTATTTTCACATTAGGATCTAGGATGTCTGCTAGAGATTTATCTCTTCCCACAATCTCTCTGGCTAGCTCCTCTGACTTCCAATCTTCAAAAGTCTTCTCTTTGGCCTTTACATAGCTGACTGCTGGTGTGGCAGCACTGCTGTCTTTCAAGTTGCTCCCAGGTTCTTCAGCTGGTTGAGGGGCAGCTGGTTTGGTTCTGGCTTCCAGCTCTGGCTCTACACCTTGCCTGGTGTAAGCACAGAATCGTGAATAGGATTGCTCAGAAGTGCTGAGTGTTTTAATTTGGTCCTTTTCCAAACCACTGGGTAAAGCAGGAGGCTCCATAGTACTGACAAGACACTGCCGACTCTCCTTTTCTGCACTGCTCTCAGAATGAACAATCTTGATGGGAACCATTTTCACCGTAGTATTGTTGTCTATAACCCTTTCAATTCTGGAAAAGAAGGAAAACTCACCTTTTGAAATGGAAGAACCTTACATCCCAATTCCTATCCCCTCTAATCAGAAGGGAAGCCCAAATATGAAAAAAGGAAGATACAAGATCTAGGTAGTGGAATCTGTGTATCTCAAACCCTAAATCTACGTGTTTTCTGCCCACACATGTTATACTGCACTTCTGTTTGTTTCCATGAACATGAGGGTCTAATCTTAGCAGCCAGGACCCAGATTTGAGAAAGTACCGCTGAACTGTGTTTTACTCCTCTGTGGCCACACATACATAGGAAAACATTCCTCAAGCTCAAACCTCACTGCCTCATGCAGATCCAACAATGGCTTCTGCTTTTGGCCTAACAGGCAGCTTAGTTGCCTGGGGAGTTTGTGATGCTCTCACTTTAATTCCCAAGTCTTCCAAGGAAAGTGACAACAGAACAGATAGAAGCATCCTGCAGGCTAGGGCCTTTGCTGAGCTACAAGAATAGCAAGTAAATCACTCATGGAAAATCTGGAAATAATTCAAAACTTAATTATATGATTAACCCCCTCCCCCCCCCCTAAATCTGTATTTGTAAAATTGCACACAAGATACAGCAGTTTAATAGATCCCACCACAGTGTCCTGGTTTTCTACTTAAAGAACTAAAAACAGCCTCTGAAGAGTGTAACACACAATTGTGGATACTCCTTTTATGGAAACCTTATAGCACAAATACTGTACTGCATAGCACAAAGGTCCAACTTGGACATACAGTCAGGAAAGCTATTTAAAGAGGAAGATAACTTAGATTTTTAAATTGGACAGTAACATGTTAACATTACTGAAACATCTGCACTGCACGTAAACCATGTAATAAACTAAAGTCTGGTTTGGTGGTTCTGAGTTTGCAGAAAGTTTAAAATTATTGTCATACTGCAGGTTTGGAAACTCCACAGCAAGTGAATGAACACTGCCTACTAGCTAAAGTATCTGGTTTCATCTGGCTGTGTAGCTTGTTGCTGTCCAGATAAGTGACCAAGACATACCCTCCTGGCCCTTTTCCTCTAAGCGTGGGTGTGTCACTTTACTTAAACTTACAGTTTATAGCGCCGTATTTTTCTTTTATTGGGAATAGCACAATCTGTTTGACTTCATATTTTTCAGAAGTTGTATCTTACATTTAAAGATACATTTGCTTGCAAATAAATGTGCAACCTCCCAATAGGTATTTACTTTCCACCAGTGCTTTCCAGACATGCTTTGATACTGCTCCAACTTTTGGGGCAGGTTTTCCAGCCCATGCTGAATGCCACCAATCCCATTTGGTTGGGTTCAGTCAAGGCATCTGGCATTTTAAAGAGCTTGCTCCTGTGTCTACTGCTCAGCCCCAGCTCCCTGCCTGCAGACATGGGCTCTCCTCCTGCCTGCTGCCTATGCCCTGACCCTTTCTCTTGCTTGTTTTTAAGTACATTCCACACCTTGTTTTTAAGTACAGCCCACACCTTTTGGACTCCATCAGACTCTATGGAGGAACACATTTTTGAATTTGAGGGAAATTCATGCATACTAAGTCTGTAGGGGGCAACTGGAAGTGAAGAAATGAGCTGAGCATAATTTTTTACCTAAAATGCCTGGCATCTGGTTTGAAATGCGAGTACATTCCTTTCAGCATAGTAAAAGATTTTCCAGATACTTAAGGCATCATCAAGTCAACTGACTGCAGTCAGAGCAAAGACAGTTCAACACCAGCTGCTTCAGAAATCCTGTTTCTACAGTTGCTACCCTTCAGATTTCTGAAGGTTTTCCACTTGTGGAACTGTGGCATGAAATTTTGACTTGCGGCAGTTCTGCTTGTTGCCACTACAAAGCTTTACTTCAACCACACGCACAGTCACTCCTTGACCTGACTGTAGGTTTACTGCAAATCTATTGATGCACGTCTACTGATGCACTCTTTTATTACTGCTAAACAGTCATCTTGGGAAATAGCTGGGTTCTGCGCACCACTAGTATTTCCTTATGCTGCATTATTCTACTTAAAACGCTGCAGAAAACCCTTCCTACTCACTCACTTTATCCTGCTGATGAACCAGACACCTTCATAAAGAAAAGTAAATAGCTACATGCTGACATCATCAAACATTAGCTGCCCACAGCATGTAAACTGGCATGTCCAAAAGCTCACATGCAAGGAGTCAATAGAAGCAATAAGCCAAATCTAATTAACTGCATGTTAAGGTAAGTCTACTGGACATATTTCTATCATATGAAATAAATACCATATAGAAGGTTCAGCGGTATGGCCCACATGTCTCTCCATTTTTGCCTTACCTGTTCTACTGAGTAATGTAATTATTAGCTGAGGACAATACCTTGTGCACAAGCAAGAGCTATCTGGGCTTAAGAATTTTAAATTTGGAGGGTAACTGTATCATTCAGATATGTTATCATTCAGATACTGGCATATAATTAGGAACACCATAGTGT